AGCGTGCTACCACTTGAGCCACATCCCCAGCCCCACACATTTATTTATATAAGTATTTATTTGGGCTGGGGACTGAACCCAGTGCTAGGCAAACACTCTACCACTGAACTGTATCCTCAGCCCCAAAACACATCTGACCTGCAGAATGAAGTAAGATTGCCAAAGACAAAAGAATATCTGGGAGCCTTTGCTTTTTTTCAGAGCTGCAAAGAATAGTTATGACCATCCCTCAGTACTTTGAAGATGCCTATGCCAGCAATGACAGTGCTCAGCAATGCACATGCAGCTTTCAGACTTTGCTCCTAAGTGGTTCTCTCTAAAACGGTGTCATACCCTTCCAATTTTGAAACTGCAGGCAATGGTTTGCCACACTGAAGGTACTAAAGCAATGGTTACTGTTGCCACCCCTTCCACCCTAGCAAAGCGACAACAAAAGATGAAAGAGCATTTTAACCAAGCTATCCACAACACAATAAATAAAGAGCAAGGATGGTGCCATACCTTATTAAACCTTATTCTCTATTATATTACGCTAACATTTTACATGGAAACATCTTAAAAGTTGTATGACCAAGAGGGCAAGGATCATTTATTTATTAAAGAGTGACCAGTACCCATTATATACCAGGCTCTTATGTTAAGCACTGGGAAACAGTGGGACATATTGCTCAAGACGCTGCAATCTAAAAAGGGAAACAGACTTGTAAACAAAGATAATATCACCTGAGCAATAATGATCACAGCACCATGTAACAGAGAAATAACTACTATTCTCTGCATTTCTCTTGACATAATTTTTAGTTTTATACAAAATACATTCTTTTAGTTCAAAAATTTAGAACACAGAGAAAGGTACTCAGTGAAGCCCAGAAACAGCTACCCACTTTCTCTTCCCAGAGGCAACAAGCATTGAAGAAAGCACCATCTTCCTGCAACCCCAGCCACAGAGTGTCAAGAGGAAAATAACTGCCCTCATATTAGAATAATGATGAGATAAAATTGACTCTGACTCTGGATTGCCAGAGAAATATTTCATTTTAACTACTAAGAAGTCATTAAAGGTTGACTACTTACTGGTCAAATCTAAAAGGATGCTTTCTAATCCCCATCTTCCTTTAACATCTCTACAGCATTTCCTCATCCCTGAATTTTTTTTCTTATTTTTATTTGTTACATTTTTAGTTCTGAGGATTAAATCAGGGCCTTATTCCTACTAGGAAAGCATTCTGAGATTCTTAGTTAGGTCCCCAGTCTTTTTTTTTTTTTTTTTTTTGAGATAGGGTCTCTCTAAATTGCCCAGGCTGACCTTGAACTTGATTGCATTCTCCTGGCTCAGCTTCCAACACACCTGGGATTACAGGCGTGTGCTACCATGTCCAGTTTTCCTCTAATTTTTTATGACATCATTTTCATTTTTTCTTCCAAATTACTTAACCCTTCATTCTGTCTTCTTTGGCCCACTCTTTCAATACAGGTTGGTATTCCCCAGGCTTCCAGGCACAAAAATCATCTCCAGGCACTCTCCCTGGAACACTTTATCTTCTTTTAAGTAACTCTCAAATTTCACCTCAAGCTTCTACATTTCTCCTAAGCTCTAACCCCACAAGAATCTGCCTATCAGATGTCTCTTAAAGGTCTGCTCATACATCTTCAAAACCAAAATGTTCAAAACTAAACTAAGCCTCCCTCTTCCTGTAACTCTCCTCTTACAGTATTCTTATCTCAGTGACTGACACCACCATTAGCCAGCCCCCCTCTCTGAGTCCTAACCTCCATTCATGACCCATTTCCCTTGTGCCCAATTCCTGAGGTGGTAATGTGGTCTAATGGTAACAGTATAGTAGTAGAGCACTGGTATTAAGAGGTTGGTCTCGGTGTGAACTTGAGTTCTATCATTTACTAGATATGTAACTTTGGACAATTATTTAACATTTCTGCATTCCTTCCTGTCAGATTATGTTGTGAGGAGGAAGCACAATAATGAATGTAAAATGTCTAGTTGTGGGAATACAGGCTTAGAACATGTTTACTCAGCCCTAATAACCCTACCTCTTAAATATCTTTTGATTCTTCTCTATCCTCTCCGGTCTCACTGCCACTGCTTTAGTTTTGACCGATTTCTTGATTTTTTGATGACTAAAGTAATAACAGCCTCCCATATCTCTCCCTACAATTACTTCATCTCACTCAAAACCTCCTCTCAAGCTCTTGTAATCCACTCCACTTGTCCACAATACTCCATTTGAAATGCAAACCCAAACACGTTATTTCGTCACTTAAAATTTTCCAACAGTTCCCTTTGATTTAAGAATAAATATCCAAAAAGTTCTTAATATTCTCATCTGAGACACTTGGGTAGAGACTTTATATAATACAGTTTGTTGTAAAAACATTCAGATTTTAAGGCACCTTGTTGCTTTGTATCACCTATTTCCCAAGTTCAAAATCACTTTGTATGGATTTGTAAAGCAGGGGTCCCAGTTTATTTGATTATAATCTAAGCATACACTGAAAAACTAAACTGCTTCTTATATTAGTGACCTCATTTCAAATCTGGTTTTAATATATTAGAATACATTTTTATTGGATAGACAGAATTGAATCCGGCATCCTATGCCCCAACCCTACAACTGGTTAAGAGCTAAAATATCCTAATATGTTCTCATGATGGATTTATACAATATAAAAATATTCTAGTTAGCTTAAAACACGCCCTTTGAATTTATTAACATGCTTCAGGATAGTCTGATTATTTTTTTGACACAGGATCCCCACTTAATGTTGCCTAAATTGCCCAGGCTGGCTCCAACTAGTGATTCTCTTTCCTCAGCCTCCAATTAGCTGAGGCACACACCACAATCCCCAATCTGAGGTTTTAATTTGGGAGGTGCTGGGGAGGGCTAAGTTGCTTAGGGCTTCACTTAATTGTTGAGGTGGCTTTGAACTCCTGCTTCCTGAGCCACTGAAGTTTTACTTTTTAAGCAGATATGTTTACATTCTGATGTACTATCCTTTATTAATACCAATTTTCTTTTTCTCTCCCTGCCTTGCCCTTTTTTTTTTTTTTTTTTTTTGGAGGGACTAGGGATTGAACCAAGGGTCTCACACATACTAGGCAAGAGCTCTCCCACAAAACTACATCTCTAGCCCCTCTACCAATTTTCTACACAAATATATCAAAAATCCTACCTGCCAAGGAACTTTTGAGCTTTATCTTTTAGAGCAGACAGATTACCTTATTACAGACAAATAATGTATATATTAGGAGAGAAAAATGAGTTGAAATTATTTTGTATGGGTATGGATTTTTGAGCTGCATTTGGTGGAAGACAACTATCATACTGATAAAAACTTCCTACCTGTATTAGGTTTGATTACAAAAAATAACATTTGGCATTCACCTTACTTTTCCCCAGGATATTGATTTTTTTCACCTTCTGGCATAACAGTTTCATTTTATTGTTAACCATCAACCTTTAACATATGGCTTTCTATGCAAATTATACTTAAAATATGCCAGAGAAAAGGTAGTATCAAAATTACTATACTTAGTAGAGTTTGACTACATACTGTACTATGGCATTAATATAATGAAACTTTCTGAAAAAATAAGGTAAACATAAGAAAATCTGGGACAATCTTACTATAATATGAACCCTTATAATCAGTTTCCACCTCACCATCCAACTCTCTGTATAACCAATGGTCCTCCATTCCTTTTATAAAATTTGGTCTAGTTAATTCCTACTGCAGTTCTTCTGTAGTGTGCCAAGTACTTCTGTTCCTACCAGGTTGTGTTTAGCACCAAACCTGATTATGCTAGCCATAATTGTTGCAATTTTGGAATCGTTTAAAGAGATGAACAGGGCTGGGGATGTGGCTCAAGCGGTAGCACGCTCGCCTGGCATGTGAGCGGCCCGGGTTAGATCCTCAGCACCACATACAAACAAAGATGTTGTGTCCACCGAAAACTAAAAAATAAATATTAAAATTCTCTCTCTCTCTCTCCTCTCTCTTTGAATAAATAAATAAATAAATAAAGAGATGAACAATTTAAAAAGAGAACTGTTCCTGTGAAAGCTAAGTCGAATGCTTTGCAAATGGTATCAAAGGCAAAAAAAAAAATTAATACAGTTTTTGGACTAGATATTACAGTTGTAAATAACTACAGTATTACAAAAATGGAGAGTTCTTTATGAGACACTTGTAAAAACAATCTAAATTCTTGTTCCACTTTGAAAAATCCCAAAAATGGGACCTGCAAAGTAAGCACTACTGAGATGTTATTTTCAAGAAAGTTAAAAAAAAAAAATTTTTTTTTTTAGATGATGGAAAAAAATCCAAAACAATGCAATTAGCACAGCCAAAAGAAAAAGGGAAACTGTGGAATAAAAGGCAGTGCACCTTTTAACAGAAGTTGGAAGAAAAAGAGAACAGAGAAAAGCACAATCTGTTTTTTTAGTTCTGAGACAAAATAAGCTTTTAGTTCTTCAAGTAGATCTGCACAGGTTAACTATAATTTAAGTAGCAACAGCAAGTAAGGATTGAAAGATAAGGGAAGAACATGAAGCCCACGTTGTCAAGCCAATTAAAAAGTTGGAAGGTGAGACTAGATTGAAGAGAGCAGTAATTATATTATAAACAGCCATATATCTGAAATTAACAGGGATGAACCTATGGTTATCATGAATTTTGGACAAGTGAAATGAATACAGGAAAAATGAAACAGGAGTTAACAGAAAATGATGCCACTTTTAAAGTGTTGTACTCTTTGTGAAAGTAAGTTACAGTAACTTTAAAATAATAATCTGTACACTTACATGTCAAAATAGGAGTAGCCAGGAAAAATACTCATAAAATTCCAAACATCTGTAAATAGTATCTTTAATATTTAAAACATGAATTATGCATAATTAGGAGGCTTTCTAATATAGAGTCAAAACTACTCCAGTCTAACTGCTTGAGATAGATACCTGGGGTGTTTTTGTTTTGTTGTTTTTGCAGTACTGAGGACTGAACTAAAGCAAGTGCTCTACCACTGACCTACATCCCCTACATCCTTATTTTTTAAGACAGGGTCTTGTTAAATTGCCCCAGGTGACCTCAAATTTGAAATCCTCCTACCTCAGACTCCTACATATCAGGAATTATAAATGTGTGCCACCACACCCAGCTGAGATACCTGTTTTTTGAGAAATCTTAACTTTCATTAAAATTACCAAAACATCCCTTTTTCCAATTCATTACCCACGTGCTGCCTACTTTTGGCTATTTTAATGAATAGCAAAATCAGCTACTGAGCAGGAAATGAAAAAATGAAGTTCAAGTGTAATCAAGGCCCATCTCCACCCTTCAACTTAATCTCCCCCACAGTGTTAGGAATTTATCCCAGCCTAACACCTGCTGGGCAAGTGCTTTGCCACTGAGCTACATCCTCAGCCTCCCCATCCCCATCTCCACCCTTCAAGTACCCCAGACCACCACCTCCAATTCAAGAAAGAAAACCAAAATTTAAAATTCCAAGGGAGAGTTACTTGACCAAAGTCACTGTTAAGGTTTTTCTTTTCAATAGCATGGTTCTTGATACATTGATAAGTACATTTCAAGACACTCATCTACACAATGAGTGCAAAGGCACTGACTATTAATTAGTAAATCCAGGAAAGTAGATAAGACACTTAAATTAACTAAAGTTCAGAGAAAAGAATTTCAGCATTTCAACTCACCTAGATTGGTCCTATTTGGATCAAAACTGGTTTCTTTCTAAGTGCAGAAACAAAACTACTAGTCCAGTGGCAACTGGGGAAGTACAGGAAGATTGCAACTTCCAGGCCAGCCTGGGCAACTCAGTGAGAACCTGTCTAAAATTTTAAAAACTTAAAAAGGGTTGGGATGTAGCTCAATGGTAGAGTGGCCCTGGGTTCAATCCTTAGTGTGGGGGAGCAACGATGAGAGGGGAGAACCAATGGTTCTAAAACTGATCTAAAAAAATAAAGTCTCTGGCTGGGGTTGTGGATCAGTGGTACAGTACTTGCCTAGTAAGTGTGAGAAACTGGGTTCCATTCTCAGGACCACATAAAAATAAATAAATAAAATAAAGGTACTGTGTCCATCTACAACTAAAAATAAATAAATAAATAAATAATAAAATAAAGTCTGAATTTTAAGCTGTTAAGTGTTTGTGTTGTTCAGGTTTATTTTAAGAAGTCATTACAAAGGGAAGAGAATATTTAAAAGCTTTTTAGTAGGCTACCTACTTCAACAGTACCCCTGGCCCAATACTTGTAAAGTATATCAAATTGGGGGAAACAGGATCAGAAACATTTATACTGATAAAGATTCAATCAGGATTCCTTATGTACATTAATAATCTAAAACTCTCCCCTCATTTTCATGAAAGATTTATTGAAAAACAAAATTTAATATTTTAATCATGCAGTGACTTGCCTCAGTAGGAAACTAGAATACACGATGTCTGAGGTTTGTTAAAATTCATCAGTAGAGGCAAATTTCATTAACTTTCTGGGACAATGCAAAAACAAAAAGACTAAAAAGTTCCTCTGTGTTTATACAGTCAATAAAAATTTATTCATACTCTTACAAAAATATGTACACAAAACATCACTGTAATTACAACTTGACACTACCAAAATAATTTCATGCAAACCACCAAGTCACTGGAAAAAATTTGTTACATTGGTCTATTTACAAATTCATCAAAATTGTTTAATTATCATTATTTAATATGACAATGCATTATGTTTACTCATCTAGGACTAAAATAATGTATACCTTTTCCAAAGTAATGCTTGGATCAATAAGTAGTTCCTTTAAACATCAGTTTCAATACTCAGCATTTACTTGCCAAAACATTTTTTGACATTTGCGATCCTTTGGGGAAAACAGTATTTCAAAGATTTAAAGACTATCAGTAACTTAGGGAAACAAGCGTGTTGTCCAAAAAGAGAATCAAGACTAGAAGAAAAATGTGGTAACCAAGGGAAAAATAGAGAACATGAATTATAGATGTAATCTAATACAATAGTCACAGTGGACTTATCACTATGCATCTAAGTTTTTGTTTCAATGGAAAATGGTTTGCACTCCTACCCTTCCCGCAGTTAAAGGAAGGAACTTTATGAGTTACCTAAGTAAGCTGCATAGTTCAAAGGAGCTCTTTCAGTTTTAGTCAGACTTTCAGGCTGGTCGTGTAATACAACATTTTTTGAAAATCTGATTACACACCAATAGCTGTTCTAGTGAGCGGAGGAGAAGAAAACGTTCAAGTGATTTCAATTCAAACCTAGGTATACGTGTAATCGGCAACAGGGTAAAAACTAATGTAGAAGAATGTGTTATTACCCAGTCAGAGGTTCTGGGAACTAGATGGCCCTAAAAAGGCAAAAATCAAAGGAATAACACCGCGAACCTGTTATCAGCTGTCACTTATTCCGTCTCTGCCCTTATTTGATCTCGTCAGCTATAACGTGTCTGGATGACAAAAATG